TCTTCTTTTTATTTAAGTTATTTTTGCCTAATAAGATATGGTTAGAAGTTGAACTAAATTGTTTGGAATAGACTTTCAAATTAAAATAAACTAATATATTACTCGTGCTATATACGAGATTAAATGATAATTAATAAATTTATTTTAAAACCAATTAAAAATAATTTTAAAAAAGAAAAAATAAATAACATTAAATTTTAACCTTTTTTTTTAAATAAAAAACAATGAGGGTTTGAAATTGACTTTTTAAGTGACTTTTTAGTTTTTTTAAAAAAAGTTCATGTATTTAAGAATGAGTTTTTTAACTATAAGAGAAAATGTAAATATTTTTGTTTGTTACTTAAATTTTTATTTTATCTTTCCAAAGATGTAAACAGCTACTTGGTCTTTTCATACTGGTAAAAAGATTTTTGAACTTCTTTTTTTGGTACATGCCAAACACATTTTAGTTTCTTGATTTTTTAATCAAAAAGATAAAATCCCAAATATAGCATGAGTTACACAATTTTTATTTTATTTTAGTTTTGTTGCTATTAATGGTTTGTCCTAAGTATTATATAACTAAGAGATATATAATAATTCAATTAGTAAAATTAAAACAAACGAATTTTTTTAAATTACAAAAATTATACTTTCGGTCAAGTATATTGTCAATCAAATCCGTAGTTATAATTCATCGTACCACAGCTTGTTAAGTGATGTAACAATCTTATATGTTTTTGTCTCTGTTCCTCTCTCCCACTCAGCTTCTATCTCTCTTTATTTTTAAGGCGATATAACAAAAAAATTAAAATTAAATATTTAAATTTTATATTTATTTCAGTAAGTACATTAGGAAAAATATTTTGGTATTAATAAAATTTTGTTTGTCAACTGATAGTGTACGATAAATTTAAGTTGACCGTAAAATGTAAGGGTATTTTTAATTTTTTTTAAATTTTATGAGATAATTCACGTACCTAAGCCATGCTAGAGTTATGTTAATCAACACAAATTGAAGAGTCATTTGACCAATTTGTTTATGTAAATATTTTTTAAATTGGTAAACACACATCATTAGTAATTTTTTTTCCCTCAAAATAGAATGTACATATTTATACATATTTAATAGCTTTGAAAAAAATAAGTTAAATATAATATTTTTTTGTAGTGTTGTAATTATAGCAACTGTAGATATTTTTATAATACTTTTAAACAAAAATCAATTCAAACAAAATTAAAAAAAATTATTTATGTAAATATTTTTTGAATTGATATTTTTAAACAAAATCAATTACAAATAAAAATATTAAAGTAAAGTTATAAAAATATTACAAAAAAACTATTAGGTATTTTTGAAGTAATACTCTACACTAATTGTCAATTAACACATATCATGATATCACAAAATATTAAAAGTAAAATATAAAAAAAGAGTAGTGATATACAAACATAAAATTAATACAAAAAAAATTATTAATAAAGATTTTGTTAGATTTTGATCTATCACTTTATATTAAAAGTCCATTGACATGTTTTTTTATTATGCAAATGAAATTATCACTTCATTTTAGGATAAAAAATTTGCATAAAAATTCTAGTAAAATAATATTTTCCAACAAAAAAAATGATTATAAGCTCAAAAAACAAAATAATGGTCCGTAGAAAGCAGAGAGACAAATTATACATAAAATATAAAATGCAAAAACAAAAAATGGTTAGAAGTAACAAAAAAAAAAAGTATACTTAAAGGATGAAAGAATCTGTTTTGCCATCGCCTTGGCCGGCATGCCTTGCCACAGCGTTGCTCAGCATGCCAATGGCGGCATACCAAGCCACGGCCTTGGCCGGCATGCCATGAATGCAAAAGACTAAATATTAATTAACTTCCAATTGTTTCATAAAAATAGAGAAAAAATAATGAGTTGTATCATTGCATGAATGTAAATATTTATAGGATGAGAATGACGTGAATGATTCAGAGAAGATGATTTTGGGATAGGAAAAAGAGTTGATTAGAGAAAGAGTGCACAAGATAAATCATGATTTTTTTTGTTTTTAAATTTAAGAAGTCACAAATTTAGTATGGAAAACAACGAAATCAAATTGTTTAATTTATTTATAGGGAAACAATGAATCAGTTTTCTAAATTAATTATAAAGAAACAAAATCAATCAAACTAAACAGATTAAACAAATTTGAGATGATTTTTATTCAATTTATTTTAAGGAATGAATGATTTTTAGTAGAGATTTTAGAAGATGGACAAATAAATTGGAAGGTCAACAAATTGTATTTTTATATTTGATTTTAGGAAAATATCATCAAGGCAGTGATCTTAGGAGATGAGTTTGAAAATTATTATTTTTTATTTAAAAATTATGTGAGACATATGAATAATTTATTGTTTTTTAAATTAAAAAAATAAGAAATTGAGGTTGGACATGTGAAGGCCTTAGAGTTTTTCTCACTAAAAACTCTCTTTTGCTATATGGGGGCAATTTAGAAAGATTAGTTTTTTAATTTTTTGACTTTTTTGGATCACATCATTTTTTTATTTTTTTATCCAAAAAAATTAAAAAATGCTAAAAACTCAACTTTTTACCATCTTCTCAAAATACCACTAATATATAAATAGATTATAATCAACTCATTTAAAGTACAACAATCTCTTTGATATCTAATTAACTTAAATTTTTACCTAAACAATATATATATATATATTGAACAAGCATAAAAATCTACTTGAAAGGCTCTTATCAACAGAACAGAAAAAAATAATAATAAATAAATAAATAAATAATTCTGATTAATTTAATTTTTTTTACACAAACAATCAACAGCCTCATAAAAAAATAATAAAAATAATTTTTTTTTTTAAAAAGGGAAAACGAATTTTAATGGTGTGTTTGATTTGAGGATTTTGAAGAAGAATTTAAAAAAAAAATAAAAAAAAATATGAATAAAATATACCTATATTTTAATTAATTTTACACACTTTTTATCTTCTTCTTTACAAGCCCCTTCCCAAATCTTTCAACATAGCGTAAATGTGACCGTAATAATAACGCAAAAATAGACTAGAGGGAAGGCTGACCTTCCGAATACGCATCTTCTTGGAACTGTTCTGCGACGTGTGGATGAAGTCGTCCTTCCTCTATGGTTCCTTTATAGCGTGGATTACAAGCACACAACACAAGTGGCCCAATGCGTGTGTGCTTACTTCTTTCAATTATTATTCAGAAAAACAAAAACAGATAAGGCCTTTTGACTGACACCAAGCGGTCCTCTGTTTTGAATAACCAATGGGCTTCAATACCAACTTGTACAATTTTCCAAAATCACAAGTCACATGTATAAAATACCCATTTCAACCTTAATCTTCTCCAACAACCAAAGCCAAATCAATCAACAAGCCTCTCTTCTTTCATTGTGTACACACTTGACATGGTTCTCTTGGTTGAAAAGCTTTACAATTCTCTCAAACACTCTTCCAAACTGGAAAACCACCATCACCACCACCACGATGGCCAATCCGAAGCCTTATCGGCTTCTTTACAAGCTTTCCGATACGATGCATCAAACTACTTAAACCAACTTTCCTTGAGTTCGAAACCCGGATCGCAATTCTTGTCCTTGTCATGGATTCAGCAGTGTTTGGATCTTCTGTCCATTGTTAACAAGGCTTTTGCAAAGCTAGTAATGGATATTGACTATCCCATGAGCAAATGGGATGCCAATTCCATTGAAGACTATCTTATGTACAGCTTGAAATTGTTAGAGCTTCTCAATTCAATCACTTCTTCACTTTCTCATCTGAGTCAAGCTCGCCTCTCGTTATCTCACGCTTTGAGCCTCATCGAGAGCTCGCCTCAATCGGCGATAGAGCGTCTGAGAGCAATTGAGTTCAAGAATCTCAGCAAGGACATGAAAGTGGAAGAAAAGAGTGAAGAAAGGGTCTGCTCTGGGAAGGAATGGGTTGTCAATCAAGCCTTGATGGTTATGAGGAGTAATGGTTATTGGGTATGTGGAATTGTGTTGTCAGGCCTATCCGGTGACATCAAACCATATTTGGAGATGAAAAAAGCAGCCAGCAAGTTTCTAAGTCCTTCACTGATGGCTCTGGATTCAGGTTTTTACGAGGCGGTAGCGGAGAAAAAGTGGGTTCTGAAGGAGGTGAATGATGCAGCAGCTTGCCTTGTTGCAGCTATGGCTGCCGGAGAAAGAAACGACGATGCCGGAAAGCAATTGGAACGAAAATTGGAGGAGATGGAGGAGCTACTGGATGGTATGGGGAAGGAAACAGATGGTATGTTTTCGGAGATTTTGGCTGGAAGAACTGAATTGCTTGATAGCCTCCGGAATCGAAAGCCGTAGCAGCAAATGTTGAAACTCTTGTGTATAGATTTAGATTGTACTGACCTCAATTAAAGATTATATTATGTATTCGCTTATTATTTGGACAAAGAATTTGTTGTGTTAGTTTAACTTGTAATCTTATAATTTTACTATGAATCAATTTTACTATGTTTCACTGATGTCTATTAGCCACATGTGGAGTCTGGTCCTGCATTTTTAAATGGATTAATATGAAAACAAGTGCTTTAAATAATTACTAAGAATCTCAGTAGCAATGGCTAATAGTTTGTTTGTTGACGAAGTTGAGAAAAGAAAAGAAAACATCAAATAGAATTCCATAACTAACCATTTCAACCCAAAAGAAAATAAAAAGTCAAATTGGATTCCGCAACCACCATTCTAACCATAGGTAGTTTAGTTGTAAACATCAACCATTCTCCTTGACAAGCATAAGGTGATAGTGGTGACAATGGTTGGTTTGAAATCGTTTTTCATCTTTAAGAAGTAAAAAAATCATTGTTTGTCCAAATAAATTTGTTTTCTATGGATCACAGAAAACACTTTCCATTTACTATGGTCTTTTGCTGTACCAAATGCAAATAAATAAATAAATAAATAAAAACAAACTATAAAACAACTATACCTTTTCACCTCCAGAACCATGGTCTCCAAGAAAAGAAGCATTTATATTGGCATTGTAAATAACATGGGCTTAACAACAGCCCACCATACAATCTCTCTCTCTATCTCAAATTCTTGATCTCTGGTGCCAATGGAGTCACCTAAAGTCAGATAAGTTTGTAGTCCAAAATGATTCTTGTACAAAAGCTGTGCTAAACTAGAAAGAGCTATTTGACATTTGTTGCTATGCAGCTATTCCTATTTTGCTAACATAAGGAGAGAGACAGAGAGACAAGGTAAAGAAAAGGATCAAAGTAGAGACATTTGACTCCCAGAGTTGCTGGAACGATTTTCTTTCTCTGGTGCCTTCCTTTTGCAAGAAACCTCAGATGAAAGCCTGAGCCAGAAAGAGATTGAAATCAGACTGCTTGAAATAATGGCTGATAGATAGTATTGTATGAAACCAATTGAAACAACAATAGCATCATATTAACAAAGGTAAAGTAACATCTTCCAAAGCATTTCCTTCAACACATGACCTAGGAAAAATTAAACTTCAATAGTCATGTAAGGTAAAAACATTTGTCAAACCTTATCAGCTCCACAAAAGTTTCAATATTAAGCAAAGCAGGAAAGAAAAGGGGGAAAAAAAATGAATTAGTTTGAAACTCAAGTAGATTGGGATAAGGATGTCATCTGTTCCCTAGGAGGCACAAATGTGCTATCCAAGATAACATTAACATATTATGAAATGAAATATAAAGATCCATCCAAGAGTCTCCTTTCAAGTACAAAAAATAGAAAACTTTTATATCAACTCTTGAAGATCCAAAATTGAAGAAAATAAAAAGCAATTATTGAAAGGCTACATGCATATGGACTAACATAGGCATATTTCAGTTGAAAGTTCAACTCATATTTCACTTTTTCAATCATTATCTAGCAAAAGGGCAAAAAATGGGATTAAAAACTACATAGAAGAAAAGCAAAGTACCCCAATTGCAGATCAACTGCACAATTATGGACAGTATCTGGACTCGCAGCACCATGATTCAAAAGGGAATTATTCCTTTCTGCAGGAAAGTATTCTTGATAAGGCATCCCTGAATGTTCACACAATGGAAGGAAATTTCGAAGCTCCTGAACCTGCAATTCATATTAAGCAGAAAAACAGTAATGTCAGATATGAAATCTCGTCCAAAAACACAGATACCGAAATGAGGAAATTAATTTATTAACAGGAGTTCAATTTGCCTGTCTGCGTAAAGTCTCGTTCTCCAGCATAGCCCGCTGTTCCTAAAATGAAACCAAAGAAATTACTGGTATCAATTTTATGTACAATATCTGTAGTTTAACCCTTTTTTTCCAAGTATTACGTACTTATATAAATGTCCATAGTAATATTACAAACATTGTTAGTTTGATGACAACTTGGAGCACTGTAACAGAAATATCCAATAAATGCCAATTTAAAGTGAAACCTCATCTTACGAAGCCATACAGTAAAATGTAATTTTAAATTCTTTTGTTCACTTTTATGTTTATTACATGCAAATAACCATTTTCTTTATATCACATAAATGTATTTCTTGTCTCTCACTACTTGGAATCCACTATAATAACAATTTCAGAGTTGCCTGGAAAATACAGGTTTTGCATAAAATGAGTCGTGCAAATTTTATGATGCGAGTTGTATACCTGAACTCTCGATTGCTCTAGTTGTTCCATCAGTAATTGTTCCTGAAATGGCAGGAAGTATCCATCAAGCCTTTATACTGTACATTGAGATAATCTTCAGAGTACAACAGCTAGAATTCACTTTTATCTGAGATAACAAAATTGGAATGTAAAAGAGAAATTCAGACCTTCTTCTCTTTCACAGATAATAATCCTTCATTTAGTTGCTCTTCTAGGTGATGCAGTTCTTTTAAGCTCAAGCCAATAAGGTCCTTACCCAAAAGCTGCCTGAAATATCAGAACCATATATATAATAAATGAAGCAGTTACCAGAAATCTGATTATGATGATGTCAGGTAACAAATGACATACATCTGTTTCACTTTGAGGTTAGCGATTTCATCTTTCAGAATGTCCACCTCTTCAAATTCTTGTTTCTGTTTGAATCAAGATGAAGGCGGGTGGTGTTAGAAAACCAAACCCGAATCATTTATATAGCATACAAAACAAAAGTATACAGACAGAGATACGAAGTAAAAAGAATTACCAATAAAGCATTAATTTGATCAAAAAGTAGACTAATGAATATGTATGATAGAAACAGGCTGCAGAGAAGTACAGGCACACTGGATTAATATAATCAACACAGATATACGGCCAATGTGATGTGCAATGACGAGCATAATGACAAATGACTTCTTGCGACACATATAAACTGCATAGGACTTCATATCTCAATAATAAATTTTATGGGTGTCAAGAAAAAAAATGTACAATGTTCATTTAAGCTATAAAACGTTAGTTACCTAGATTTCTGCAAACATAAATGCATATGAAACCACACCATAGAAGCAACGACATCCGCATACAATAGATGAAAAAACAAAATCTTGTAGTTGGAGACTTCTCAAGTTAGCCTTAATAAAATCAAACAGAAAAATGCAGTCCCTTAAGAGAAATTATTTTTTAAATCAGTTGCCTGCTTGATAGTGTACACAATTTGTTTTTCCCAAATTTTTCTGCTGCTGGATCTACAGAATTACATTCTGAATTACTTTTCGGTTTCCCTCTCACCAAGTAAAACCACTTTGAAAGTTCATTTTACCTATGATTGCAATATATTACAGGGATTCCCATAAAAATGAGAACTGTTTGTGATTCCATATTGGGGCTAGAAAGGAACGACCTCATATATGTATGGATCTGTAACAAAAAGGCTGAAAATTACAACCTGCTGAAGACCAGAAACTTTGAGAATACAGATGTACGTTAATCTTACAAATTCTAACAGAAATCCTCAGAATATTCAGTGCTGTACAAATCCAATCATAAACAAAGACCACTAGGTGAAAATAGCGCTAACTATACTGCATTCAAACTGATCAAGGTTAAGGAGAGAAAACCCAACTCTTATGACCTTTATCTAGATCCATGTTACATGGTCTCTGCTTAATTTGTGAAATACCTGTGACATCCGACACTTGGGTAAAGGTAAGGGTAAGGTTATGGGATATGTGTCCAATAGGCCTACAATTGACATGGTACACAGCCATTTATACTCTCTCACAAGCTCAAAAATAGAAATTTCAGAAACAAGAGATCCTTCTTTCTAGGAAATGAAGCTACATGCAACCTCTTCCCACCCTCTTCTAATGGGAAATTAAGTTCTGTAACATGAATAAACAGAAGAAAATCTAAGTACTTGTGCAACTACTAAAAATTACTAGATGCAACACATAATTCTTCATGAAAATACAACTCAGACTTCTAGGAGTACATCTAAAGTTCACGTGTTCAAGAAAGATTAGTATCCGTTGTCACCAAATAAACTAGAAATGTGACATTCACTTTTTGCTGTTGAGAATACCTTCCTGCGGAGGAAAACCCTTGGAAATCACATAAACTTGAATAACTGACACTAGTGAAACTGCATGACAGAACTGCAATATATTGAAAGTTACATGTTTAATCAAACAAATCAACAAATCAAATGATATATACATGAACAAGAGTAGAAAGCATCTCCCTCCGAGAAACCTAGTCAATTGTCATTTTTAAGGCTCCATTGTATTCTTGACACTATGCTGTTAGCTTGACTGCTTGGGAAGTAGTTCTTGACTCTCCGACAAAAGAGGTGAAAGATATATATTATGTTGGAGAATTTTTTTTCTAACATGTATGTTAAGCAGGAGATAGGGGTTGCATAGTCCTTATAAAGGAGAAAGTTCCCTGAAAGTGCCCTTCTCATAATCATATTGTAAATCAAAATGCAAATTTTGCGAATTATGAATAAAGTCAAATAAAAAGTTGTAAGATTTGGCACAAACTATTAAAAAAATGATAGTAAACATTTGTATATACGCACTTGGCACGCTGCAGAAATAAAAACCAAAATGTAGCTAGACAAAAGCCAGCTACCAAAATCGAACCAATGGCCATCGCATGACAAAGTTGATGCTCTATCCTCTAAGCTGAGCAAGCTCACATACCAAAAATTTTACATGCATATGAATTTAATAAACTATTGGAATCTTAGTTATGAAAGAAAATAAAATGAATTGATTTTGGTAAATGTATATAATAATTCTTATATGAGAACATGATTATGTCAACTAATTGGTAAGACATTGCCTTCGTAATAAGAGATATGGTCCAAATCCCACCAATCACAAAATTCTTTTAAAACCATACTATATTATTATTACCTTTCGCATTCAAAAATAAACCTAGAAACCCTAAATAGAGTGAATGGAACCTTTTATCATAAACCTAAAACACTTCAAAAGATGTCCATGCTCATTGTTCAGAAAAGTAAAACAACAGTTATTGAATCATTAGGCCTAACTGATCCGATCTATATTATATTAGACCAGAACCATGTTTATTTCACCAAATAACAATAGCTATATTATGGGGTTAAGAATTTGCTAGATCTGATTAGACTGATCTGTTAAACCTTCAAATCATCAAAAGAACAAAAAAATATGTATATCTAGTGGTTATTTCACACTAAACATTCATAGAAATTACAATGTGGCATTTCCACAAATAGAGGTAAAAGCAAGTCAGGATCTGTCGAACTAACTCTTACAAGAGTCACATGAATCGAATTGTGAATTATTCTCTTCACTACCGATTCTATCCCAAAAGAGATTCACATAGATCTATTCATGAATCTTGAATCATAAGATTCTGACACCTATGGTCCTTGTCACTTTTATTCGAGTCGAGGCATCGGCCATCACCTAGACAGATTAGCAACTACTTAAACCTTTTTGGCAACCACATAGAAACAATGCATAGACATATAAGTAATTGGGCTCAAGAGATCAACTAGATGAGTTGTTTTGGTCTTTTACAGTGAGGTGAGACGTGGAAATTTTAAAAGTGATACAGCCTCCATAACTTAGGACATGAACTAAAATGGTGAAATGATGATATATTGGGCCATCTGATTTGCATTTGTCAAGCACTATTTCGGCACAACCTTGATTAAATGATAAATAAGCAATTTGAATGGTTCAAAGTTGACATAATATAGTGGTTCAACCTTACGCAGATATCTTATATTTGACCTCTCACATACAAATTTTACGTATTTAGTAATCATTACGCCCAATGTATAACATTATGAAATGATAATGATAATGAACAAAATCTTACATAATAGGTATATTGTCGCTACACCTTATAAATAAGTGAATTAAGACAATGAAAAGACGCAAGGATAGTAAAATTATTTCTACCGCAGAATGATGGTGGTTCCCAAATTCCAATAACACCTAGTTCATAGTCCAACTTTACCATCGCAATCCATGAACTTCATTGTTCCCAATCTAGCACCCATCAACATTTGTGATGTTTGTTTATCTTTCCTTTTACTTGCACGTGTTAAAAGTGATGTGGCTTTGTGTAGTGTGTGTAATTTTTGGGGGGTAATTTGGTTGGGAAGATATGGAAGGATTTTTTAACACAAATTTGGAATGTGGATTCTATGTAAGATGAAGTTCGAAGTTTGGCATATTTTTGGGCCTCGTGTCTCCATCATTGAGGATTCTGCCCTGTTTGTGACACATAATTTTCTTGTCTTTTGCTTTGTTTTTGTGTCATTTTTGCTTAGTCCTTTATGTTTGATCTTTGAGGACTCCTTGTCCTCTCTTGTACTACTTTTCTCTTTTATTCAATAAAATTACTTATGTTGTTGATAAAAAAAAAACAAAAGGTATCAACTATTTGTTGTTTCGTTTTGGGTCACCCAACATTAGGTAGCATAATAAATTAGCAAGTTCATAGGTGATTAAGGTTCTAGTTGTGTGAGGACGAGGAGAAAGAAGGGTACACCCCCCTTTTATCTAACGTGATGTAGTTAGAGAAGAGAACAAGAGGGTTTTGCAAACTTAAGGCTCCATATTGATTCCTTATTTTTTTTATTATTTTTAATTCTTTTGTGTGGCATGGTAAAAAGGGTGGGAAGGTGTGAGCCAAAGGTGATATCCCTGGTATAATAGGCATTTATTTCATACTAATGGCCAAGGAAAGTTAGAATAGTGCTACACTGGTAGTTCAGCAGAATGCTTCTGCAGAAGCAAGGCCATAGGTTAGTGTCATGTCCCCCTTCCCCCCCAAGTTGAAATTTTGACCTTGGGGACTGCCAAACCCTATGGGAGTGCCTGGTGCCCCTAGATGACAGTCCTCCAAACCCTATTGGTTTCTTCTCAATGAGATGAGCACTCTTCTTCAGATAGCATAGTCATGCAAGCTAGTGGTAATGAGGCTTGGGAAAATGAAGGCATGTCAAAGATCCAACAAGAGGATATGAGTACATGATGAGGGTTTTTGCACTTGTAACTGTTCAGCCAAGGTTGCAGACTTGACATATTCAAGGGAGAATGTCTTGTGAGGGACATTTTGATCAAGGAAATGCAACACATGTTCTTCATCTAAACATCTCAAGATGCAGCTGAATTGGATCACCCAGTTGCTGTCCTAATGTAGTAAAATAAACATCTTTAAAACCAAAATGAGTCTTATGCTTAGTTGTCATTAACTTTGTTTGTTAAGTGTCCAATTCGTTGTGGTTATTAATGGTCTTAGTCTATAAATAGGTGATGTATTCTCAATTGTAATTAGTTTTAATTGAAGAATATAGAATTTGGTGAGCAAAATTGCTCTGATTTCTCTCACTAATCCTATGGGTTAACCCTAGGTTGGGGTTTTCGTCTCTTTCTCTTGATTCTTGAATCTAATTGCAATTTTATTTGCATCATTATCACTTCAAGAACCCCTGATTACGGGGACCAACACTGAGTAGTGTTCTTTTCTAATAAATAACAATCAATAACATGCTTTTATATGCACATAAAATTCAGTGCTTGGATGTAAGGTTTAAATCGTTCAAATTTTGAAATAACCATTCTGCCCATCAAATCAAGGTTCAACAATTGTCAAATTTGTAAAATCATCTCTAATTCGATTACATGAACTGAAATTAAAAACTTTAAGGGACTAAATAGATGAAATTGATATTTTAAGAGAAAAAAATTGTTATAGTTAAGGGCTAAAAGTGAAATTAAACCCATAACTTGTAAAATCCCCATCCAATCTGGTATATAAGCATAATACAGATAAACAACAATGGCAATTGTAAGGATATAAGATGAATTACCTCTTCTTCATGTTCCTCTTCTTCATGTTCCACTAAAGCAGTCTCTGAAGAATCTAGACATTTATTGTATCTTGAAAGGGTTCGATTCATGCTGCAGTGAAAGCAGAGTAGATAAGTAGGATTACCAAATATAACGTAAACAAGAAGTCTAAATTATATCACTACCTAAGCATGGAAGTTATCTTTATTTTTATTATTCTTTTTGTAAACTAAAAATAACTTTGTTAAATTTAATGGTGCTGACGAGGTACAACCCATGTACACGAACACCAATTCCACCAACTCTTTATGCAAGGAACACTTGAGGAAAAAGACTTCCCTCTTCTCAATCTATTTACCAATTGTTAGGATCTTTCAGTGAGCTGCCTCCTACAAACAATACCATTTAAAAAGGACACTAGGATTCCAAGTTTCTCTCTGAGAAAACATGACTTCTGTTGGACCTATTTTGACCCTATTGTCAAAATTTGGAAGCATCCAACATGAAACCAATTGACATTAGTTGGAGAGGCCACTATAGACTCATAAACCAAGCTTGACTGGAAGATGTGAGACCCCTCTAATACTCCCACAGTAGTGCAGTCCAGCCACACATAGAAGCGGTAAAGAGAAGTTCGAGACAAGATAAATAGACCTGGGACAGAAACACAGCCAACAAGACCACTCAAGATCCCTGATAACATTTTAGAATTTGGAGACATCCAACACAAAACCAATTGGTATCATGCCTACAAGTCTATAACACCTATAACATGACTTGAGCTCAAACCTCCTCCTCTTGGAAGTTGACCATCTAATGCCCTCCTCTTCTCCCCTGAGGTTGACCATCAGAGAACACCATGACATGTTTCCTAATGTTGTTCCACAATTTGTAGGGAGACAAAGTTTAGTGAGATCACAAATAAATGAAAAAAAATGAACCAAGCATGTAGATGCCTCTTGTTTTAGCTTCCCTTCTTTTTCCATGATGTAACACCAATGAGTTTCTAGAGGAGAAAGATATTTTACGACAGGCTGTTTATTATAGGGAAAAGCCCCAAATTCTGCAATTATATAAAATCTAGAGATAACAGTGATTCCACCCAAAAAAAACATGATGACAATGTTTATGCTCGTAAGATGTCATTTCCTAACCCATATATTTACACAAGATTGAATATCCTAGGATGAATGTCATCTTATAGATGACAATAATTATGAAAAATATACAATGATATTACCATGCACCAATCATTATAAAAAAGACATTGTGAATGATGTCTCATAAGACAAGAAACAAGTCATGTCTTGTAACTACAACAGGTTGGCTAGAAGAATATGTGAGCTGGATCGCTGCTCACAACAGGTGCATGTCCATACCAAACAGGATACATTTGATGAAATGTTTCTGTTGAAACTGAATAGTGTCAATGATCTTATGATCTCCACATTAGTGCCACAGAAAAGTAATTTTTCAATAAATATTAGAATAATACTATGTATCATGAAACAAATATCATGAAATACTTCATGAAACAACATAAAAATTAGTTTAATGCTCAATAATCTAGAGGAAATTGGGCGATGGACACATTAGAAAAAAGAGAAGTTGAGGACTCAAAATAAAATAATGGGAATGAAAACAAGGTAAGAAACCTAGTCAATTGTCATTTTTAAGGCTCCATTGTATTCTTGACACTATGCTGTTAGCTTGACTGCTTGGGAAGTAGTTCTTGACTCTCCGACAAAAGAGGTGAAAGATATATATTATGTTGGAGAATTTTTTTTCTAACATGTATGTTAAGCAGGAGATAGGGGTTGCATAGTCCTTATAAAGGAGAAAGTTCCCTGAAAGTGCCCTTCTCATAATCATATTGTAAATCAAAATGCAAATTTTGCGAATTATGAATAAAGTCAAATAAAAAGTTGTAAGATTTGGCACAAACTATTAAAAAAATGATAGTAAACATTTGTATATACGCACTTGGCACGCTGCAGAAATAAAAACCAAAATGTAGCTAGACAAAAGCCAGCTACCAAAATCGAACCAATGGCCATCGCATGACAAAGTTGATGCTCTATCCTCTAAGCTGAGCAAGCTCACATACCAAAAATTTTACATGCATATGAATTTAATAAACTATTGGAATCTTAGTTATGAAAGAAAATAAAATGAATTGATTTTGGTAAATGTATATAATAATTCTTATATGAGAACATGATTATGTCAACTAATTGGTAAGACATTGCCTTCGTAATAAGAGATATGGTCCAAATCCCACCAATCACAAAATTCTTTTAAAACCATACTATATTATTATTACCTTTCGCATTCAAAAATAAACCTAGAAACCCTAAATAGAGTGAATGGAACCTTTTATCATAAACCTAAAACACTTCGAAAGATGTCCATGCTCATTGTTCAGAAAAGTAAAACAACAGTTATTGAATCATTAGGCCTAACTGATCCGATCTATATTATATTAGACCAGAACCATGTTTATTTCACCAAATAACAATAGCTATATTATGGGGTTAAGAATTTGCTAGATCTGATTAGACTGATCTGTTAAACCTTCAAATCATCAAAAGAACAAAAAAATATGTATATCTAGTGGTTATTTCACACTAAACATTCATAGAAATTACAATGTGGCATTTCCACAAATAGAGGTAAAAGCAAGTCAGGATTTTTTCTCTTTTTTTTTTTTTTTTTTTTTTTGTCTTTTATGACCTTTTTCAAACTTTTTCAAAAAAAATTAAATATTTACATTCAAACACAAATCCAAATACAAAAACCATGCATCTGGTTGTCCAGTAGAATAGTTTCTATGTTTAGCTATGCAAAAATTTGATTTTGTAAAAATTTATCTGTTTTGCTTGGAGGGAGGGAGGGAAACGGTTGGTTTTGGCGAGGGCTGCAAATGAACAGAGCTGTTCGTGAACAGACTCGAGTTCCACTCGGTAAGAACTCATTCGAATTTCTTCATTTAAAGTTTTTTTGCATTCAAGCTCGTGCTTGAGCTCATTAAATTTTTAATAAACGAGTCCAAACATTCTAAAACTCGGTACGTTGACTAGCTCGTTTAATATTTATTATTTATATATTAAATAATGTAAAAATATGTATAAAAATAGGATAAATATGTTATTTATATATTTAAAAAATATAAATGTAAATAATAGTTAACTATAGATAGTACAT